ACAAGTAAGATTGTTATAGAACTCTTGGTCTTTCATAGCTTCATGACATAAAACTGGTGGGAAACCATTTCGCCGCATGGCTTCTTCTTCTCTTCGCATGTTCAACTTGATGGACAATTCACAAATGGGTGTGTTGGTGGGGGTTCTATTAGTAGGGTGATGGATTTGTGACATTGATGTGAGTATTTAGGTAAAAGAGACGTCAATTTGAAATGCAATTTTTGTATCGAGACTAATGTGGATGTGAATCAATTTTCTAATTTTTTTTTTACATTTCTTCGTACTCTCATGTTTCATTCTCATGAGCTGGATGGAGCCCAAGGGAAAGATTCATCTTCTCCATTACAATATTCACTATTTTAATGGATGATTTATCAGTTTTAAGAATCATGAAATTTTGATTATTTTTAATCAGTTGTTTTCATATTTCTAGCTTAGATATTTCTCTTGCACTGTACGATAAACATTTTAGGTTAAATTTGTTACAATCCAATTAGAAGACCTTGGATCTCATAACAGGATTGGATTTTTGTTAGTGTTGGTTTTTGGGTCCAGGGAGCCATGTGTTTATCTTGCATTTTCTGACCCTTTTTTTTTTGGTAAATTGTATGGATTCCCAAACATCGTACATCAAAATGGGTTGAACCCAAATAGAAACAAAAATGTCCACTGGATTTCTCTAGACACATTATAGAAGGTGAAGGAAGCAAGGGGAAATTTGGTGAAGTGCCTGGCTGAGATCTAATCTCCTTTTATCTTCCTAATCCGATTTGAGGTTGAAAAACAGTATTGCCCTTAGGACATTGAAGGCAAGACGTTCAAGTATTATATTGTAAGCAAAAGGGCAAAGTACAAGAAAATTTACCACAATAGTAGAGCTCCTTGGTGCAGTTCCTGCTGTGACAGGCAGGGTGATAGATCCTAAAGGATGGACTCTCTTTCCCGAGAAGCTAACCAAAGGAGTCTTGACAGGCTGTAGTCTTTCTATACCGAGGTGGAGGTTGTCATAGGCTGTTGCGAGCTAAATGTCAGCTGAGCTTCCGCCGTCGACCATGATCCTTCNTGGACTCTCTTTCCCGAGAAGCTAACCAAAGGAGTCTTGACAGGCTGTAGTCTTTCTGTATCGAGGTGGAGGTTGTCATAGGCTGTTGCGAGCTAAATGTCAACTGAGCTTCCGCCGTCGACCATGATCCTTCAACCTAGTAGTTGGCCACCATCAACGTTAAGACCAGAGGTTCATTATGTAGGACCTAGATCCCCTCAAGATCTTTGTCTGAGAAGGTGATTACATCCTCCTCCCCATGTCGGGGCATCTTCTTTGGGTGAGAGTCATGTGACTTTGCCTGTCTAGCTTTTTGGGCATACGCCTTCCTGGCGGAGTTGGAGTCACCTCCTCCTCCTAACCCTCCGACGATAGTCTAAATCTCACCGAGGGGTTGCTGACACTCGCGCTCCTTGTGTGGTGGAGCTGGTCCTCGACCATCAACATGCTATCTCAACTGGCCGTAAGGAATAAACTCTTCAATCTACTTCTTTAGCTGGAAGTAGTCATTAGTGTCATGATTGTGGTCGCGATGGAAGCGACAATACTTGCTGGAATTTCTACGCTTGGGGTCAGACTTTATCTTTTTAGGCCAACAAATGGCGGGGTCATCTTGTATTTGGAATAGGATGTTCTCCACCGAGGTATTGAGTGGCGTGAAAGGCTGTCAGTCTCTCGAAGGCAATAGACCGAGATGGTCCTTCACAGTCACCCTCTCTGTCTATTTCCTCTTGTTTTCTGTTTCCCTCCAGTCTTCATAGGAGTCCCTTCCTTTTCTCTTCTCCTCGGGAGGACTCACCTCTACGAGTTTTGGTGATGTCCTCGGCGTTCATGTACTTCTGTGCCCTAGATAGTAGCTCGGGCATGCTGGAGGGTGGTTTCTTGCGAACAGAGAACATGAAATTGGAGGTGCGGAGTCTAGCGATAAAGGTGGTCAGGGTTACCTTATCATCTGGTTTCTCAATTTGGAGAACCTCCTCATTGAAGCCGGCAAGGTAGTCTCTGAGGCTTTTATCCCTGTCCTGCTTGATAGTGAGCAGGTGGGTCACTAGTTTTTGATGTCGACGTCCACCGATGAAATGAGAGACGAATGACCTACTCAACTTTATGAAGAAATGAATGGAGGAAGGCCTGATCTTGGATAACCATTGGCGAGCAGACCCCTTCAAGGTGGTAGGGATGGCTCTACAGATAATCTGTTTGGGCACGTTGTGGAGGTGCATAAGGGACTTATATGTGTTAAAATGGTCGAGGGGGTCTTTGGTACCATCAAAGATCTCGATGGTGGGCATCTTGAACATCGAGGGTAAAAGATAATCGACGATATTAATAACAAAGGGTGTATCAATACGTCTTAACAGATAGTCCACGGTCTCGGGCGCCTGTGCCTTGATGGCATTTAGCACGTCGCTGAGTTGGTTCTACATCTCTCTGATCTTCTTGTCCCACTAGTTGGGGACATCCTCCATCGAAGGGTGGTACTACCTTCCATGATCACCAGACTGGCTCTCCCCTTCGTCCTTCTATGCAGGTACATGAAGAGGGAGAATTCGTGAGCTCCCTGCGTGCTGGGCGGGGGGCACTTGGGCCTGGTCTTGGGGCATTCTGGAGAGGGACTGTATGACGAGGGGTTGCCTCTCACCCAGAAGGGATAGGTTACTACTCTTCTTCTATTGGAGGGAGTGGAGCTCCTCCAGTGGGGTGAGGGTCGACGTCTCTCTAGGCGAGCATCAACTGAATGATTTGCTGGNTCTGGAGAGGGACTGTATGACGAGGGGTTGCCTCTCACCCAGAAGGGATAGGTTACTGCTCTTCTTCTATTGGAGGGAGTGGAGCTCCTCCAGTGGGGTGAGGGTCGACGTCTCTCTAGGCGAGTATCAACTGAATGATTTGCTGATTTTGGTTCACTAGTAGCTGCATGGTTTGTAGGAGCTGTTGACCAATGACGGGGGTCGCCGTAGTAGACGATTCCGAGGGTGCGAGGGGAGGCACAGCCTCCTCCCAGTAGGCCGGGTTATTGTCTCTCAGTTGTTGACTCATCGATCTGATCGTGATTGCCATAGATTGAAAGAGAGTAGAAAAACTAATCGTTTTCTACAGACAGTGCCAAACTAATGATGCACAAATCGATATTACATAAGATCAACAGTCAAGTATATCAAGAGATACAATTAATGAGCAGTAAATAAAATAATCAATGACAAAACAGTAAATAAGAGCAAACAAACAGATTTATAGTAGTTTGGTCCAAGTGATCTATTTCATTCTCAAGAACGGCAGTGGTGGCCAGAGATCTTTATTGACAAATAAAATTCATCGAGAGAGTGTACTCTGGTTGAATTACAATACCTTGGGAGAGAGGAGCAATGTGTGTAGAGAGGTGTGTAGGGGTTTTTAGGTGATGCCCTTTATGCGGAGAGGGCTTACATTAAATAGGATTTGATAAGGTGGGTGAGGCAGCGACGTGAGGGAGAGGACTTCTACTATTTTGGTAAGTACAAATAAGGTAAGATTAGATCTCCGAGCGTATCCCGATATTCTCTCCCTCGTGCTCCTATTCTGTCAGAGGAAGATCCTGAGCTGGGTTGGACTTGATCCTGGGCTTGGGCTTGAGTTGGAGTGGGCTGAACTTGAGTCAAAGTTATTCCAATGGTACTGAGGAAGACTGAGCGGAGGACGAAGGAGAGCCAGGAAGCCAGCCCATGGGCGGCGCCCCTTTTGGGGACCCATGGGCTGCACCCTCTTAGGGGTCCCTTAGGCAACACCCTCTTTTGGATCCTCTGGGCGCTGGCCTCTTAGTTTCTTCTTAGTGTTAATGATTTGGGCTTCTTTCTAGATATTGATTACTTGGGCCCTCTTGGTTCATTTTTATTGGCCCAGGCCCAACTAATTTCGGGCTCATCAATTTTAATAAAACAATGGAAAGATTTAGTAAGGATAAAAAGAAGGAAATAACCTTTCAAGATCTCCAATATGAAGTTAACAAACTAAAACAAGAAATAAAAGATTTAAAAGGACATGATCAAAAGTTAGGAGAAGCATTAAATCATTTACATGCAAGAAATAATTTTAGTAAACTAGGGGACTCTAATCCTATAGAGCAATCTAAAACTGAAAACCAGATAACTCACATAGTTCAACCAGAACATATTCCCAGTAAATACCCATAACCTCCACCTCTCTAGTGGAACCCTTGGATGTAATGAAACTGTCATCACAAGATGGGTGTTCACAAACTAGCAAAGATGATAGCAGGATTAATTTAATTAATAGGTTAAGTATCCAAAAATGACATTCAAAAGTTAAAATTATAATTGATAATGATTATGAAATAGAAGTCATAACTCTTATTGATACATGTGCAGATTTAAACTGAATACAAGAAGGGCTTATACCAACCAACTATTACCAGAAGACAACTGAAAGACTCAGTTCAGCAAATGGTAGTAAAATGAGAGTAAAATACAAATTAACAAATGTGCATATTTGCCAAAATAATGTATGTTTCAAAACATCATTTGTTTTAGTAAAAAATATGTTTCAAAAATGATTAATTAATAGAAGAATAAGTATATAATAAATAAATTTCCAATGGTTACATTATTTTCGTTGTAAAAAAAGGGATGATGTCACGAGGGACTATTTTAACTAAAACTATATAAATTAGGCCAAAGAGTATACTAACCTATTTCATTAGTTTGCGTATGATCATAGAAAAAATATGTATACTATTTTGTTGTGAGAAAAATAAAGAGGATGTCTGTTATACAAAACCTAAGTGTAATCAAGTGTATGTGTAGCGCCTACTAGACTGAACAAAAAAATATATAAATATATATAATTTTTATTTATAATCATAACTATATCTTCAATAGCGTGTAACATTTCTCTTCCAAACAAGGTTTCAGTGTTGAAAATAAATAAATTCTACTTCTAATAATTACCGAGTCCAATATCTATGGTGCATGCGAATCCTTTATGTGGCAAATTTTTGAAACAAGTGTATGGTGAAACTGTAGAGAAGATAGCAAATCGCAGCAACGGAGATGTGGCATGTGATTCCTACCATAAATACAAGGTAAAACCAATATTGAACTATTTCAATCTGAATGTCTTTTATGAGATTATATCTACCACGTTTTTATGAATTGGTTCTTATAGTAAGGTTCACTATGACATCGCAGGAAGATGTTGCCCTCATAAAGAACATGAATATGGATGGATACAGATTCTCTATTTCATGGGCGAGAGTCCTACCACGTAAGATTGTCCACTACATAGACTTGCATTCTAGTATTTTAAAAGGGGTAACCCTATTAATGAAATAATGAAGCTTCACAATTTGATAGAACTCTATAAAGAATAAGTGAAATTGGCAAGCATTTGTATATTATGGGCCTTTGATTAGTATATACCCCNTAAAAGGGGTAACCCTATTAATGAAATAATGAAGCTTCACAATTTGATAGAACTCTAAAAAGAATAAGTGAAATTGGCAAGCATTTGTATATTATGGGCCTTTGATTAGTATATACCCCTTTTCTTTTACTTGTACGTTTCATAGGTGGAAAAATAAGCGGAGGTGTGAATGAGGAAGGAATAAAGTACTACAACAACCTTATAAATGAGCTCCTATCCAAAGTTTATTGTTCGATACTTAAATCTTGGCATTGTTTTTCATGGGAGGTGTGATCTGAATTTGGGTTTCTTATGGTATATATTCAGGCTTGAAGCCCTTTGTGACTCTCTCCCATTTTGATGCTCCCCAAGCCCTAGAAGATGAGTATGGTGGTTTCCTAAGTCGGCAGATTGTGTAAGTGACTATCACATAGTCCCCATATTGTAGGTTCCTTACTTAGTGCATTGTTAATTACTTACTTGAGTCTTTACAAATCCAATGCTGTAAAATTTAAGATCATACAATAGGACATATCAACATGATAACAATTTTTTAAACAAGAAAATGTTTTATGATTTTTTTTAAAAAAAACACAAAACAGATCAAAAGGAAGGCCACTAACATAAACACTTATTTTCTTTTTGACCGGTGTGAAAAATGGATCCAGATGTCTATGTTTTCTAAATTTATCATCAATGATGAATCAACAATTATAAATTTATGTGAACCCAATTATAAATAAGTTTATTCCTCATCAAATATACAAAGAGCTATCTTTCGTAATTAAGGGAATGTATACCAGAGTGGATCCGTTTGATGCAAGTCTTCTTTAAAAGTTAGTAAAGTAGGGTAAAACCGGATCGTCATGATTGATCAAAATTTGAAAGATCTAGTTGGTTAAACTAGTGCTTGAAACTTGAATAGTCATATTTAAACTCTTATATGAATTCCACAAGGGCAGAATGACTTTACTTCTATCCACCAAGAAGTTATTATATAATGAAATCATGTGTTAGAGTATTAGCTAAATCTCATCTGTCCCATAATTACTGACGATCCAATCACAGGTATAATTTCCGCAATTACGCGGAGCTTTGCTACAAGAGATTTGGCGATCGGGTGAAACATTGGATCACAATCACAATCACCAAACCATCGACCTTCAACACATTTGGGTACGATGATGGTACTTTTGCACCAGGTCGATGTTCCCCTTTGGAGAAACCCAAATTGCACAGGTGGGGACTCAAGTACCGAACCATATATTGGTGCACACAACCAACTTCTTGCGCACGCTTTAGCCGTGAAATTGTACAAGGAGAAATACCAGGTTTAAAATCCAACAGAACTATAAGTATTAAGGATGATACAATGCTTGCCATTATTGAACATAGAATTTGTGCAGAAATTGCAAAAGGGTAATATTGGAATTATGCTATCAAGTAATTGGTACGTGCCGTACTCCAATTTGACAGTCGACTACCGTGCTGCACGTCGATCACTGGACTTCGCACTTAGATAGTTAGTATTTTTTGTTGCTTCACTAACTGAAGGGTCACACAACATCGAAAAACATTCTCTGTTTTTTNAACTTCACACGGCCAATCATGGATATGTTTGAATGTTTACCTCATGTTTTAAGACAGGTATCTTTTCGGCCCTAATCTAGAATGTGATGTCATTTTTAGTTTTNCACACAACATCGAAAAACATTCTCTGTTTTTTTTGTCTACCAATGTATTTTTGTTCGACAAGTCTGTGGGAGATGTCCTTTCTCAAAGTATCTCTTACAGACTTGTGTTTTGAGTTTTGAGTATATGATTTTTTATATCATGTTTGTATTTGAGTCTTATGTGACTTCATTNGCTAAATCTCATCTGTCCCATAATTACTGACGATCCAATCACAGGTATAATTTCCGCGATTACGCGGAGCTTTGCTACAAGAGATTTGGCGATGGGGTGAAACATTGGATCACAATCACAATCAANTCTCATTATATCAATTTTGTCAATTTAGTTCTTTAAATATCTAATTCGTGTCATTTTAGTCTCTGCATTGACGAACAGTTATGTTTTTTGACAGAATGATCATGTGGTTAGCACATTATACCGTCTTAAAAAATGAAATGTGATCACTTCCATCAAAAAACTTGACAAATTGTTTGATTAGGGACCAAAATGACACGAATTAAATACTTTGGGACTAAATTAANCATTGTACATTTTGTAAGTGATTATCCTTATTTACCTATTTTAATTTAATACATTTTACCTTCCTAAAAAAAATCAAAAAACATACAAAAACCAAATCATTTACTATTCTTAACTTAGCCATTGTGGATCGTTTTATTTACAAAAAGTTAGGTAGAAATTTTATACACGCATATATTGAATAAGACTTGTATAGATATATAACAAAATGAGTTTGTCTTAGTTTAACTCTAATTACATGTGAAATGTAGGTATATGGAACCATTAACAAGTGGTGACTATCCACGTAACATGCGATCAATTGTTGGAAAACGCCTGCCAAAGTTCTCAACAATAGAATCAAAAATGCTAAAGGGGTCATGCGCTTTTATTGGCTTGAACTACTATACTTCTACTTATGTAGCCAATAACCCTAGTCCAAATACTGTCAACTTAAGTTACAGCACAGATAGTCATGCAATTCTTACTTGTAAGTCTACCATTAAACCCCCCAAATTTACTGTGATGTACAATAATAAAAATTAAAAAAAAAACAATTTTTATGCTAAAAGACATTATTTTCTTATGGCAGTTGACAGAGATGGACAACTTATTGGTGCTCAGGTATACTATGAATAGATATAAAATTTTCTTATGCTTATTTCTTGACAACCAATCTTAGACTTTAGAATGACCATATTCTTAGTCAGCCTAATGTGCTTTGTTGATGTCTCAGGCTGGTTCAGTATGGCTCCATGTTTATCCAAGAGGCATAAGGGATCTTCTCGTGTATGTAAAGAGAAAATATAATAATCCGCTTATCTACATTACAGAGAATGGTAATTTTTTTACAAATAAAANGCATAAGGGATCTTCTCGTGTATGTAAAGAGAAAATATAATAATCCGCTTATCTACAAATNTATGGCTCCATGTTTATCCAAGAGGCATAAGGGATCTTCTCGTGTATGTAAAGAGAAAATATAATAATCCGCTTATCTACATTACAGAGAATGGTAATTTTTTTACAAATAAAAGTTTGCTTCATATATGATGGGTCATCAATATATAATCTCTATCCCCTTTCTTTTAGACGAATCTTCTACTACAAAGTCCCTCTTGTAAAAAAATTATTCTCTAAAATTTTGAAACGGAGATTCCTCCAAAGAGTTTGCTTTGTTTGCAAGAGATTGCCTTTTACAACCTTTGTCTCCTTTCTTTTAGGCGAGTGTTCTATTACTAAGTCACTCCAATGAAAACAATCATTTGCTAAGACATTCTTTAAACTAAGACTATATTTCATTCAAAAGCTTCAAATTTCATTTGATTAGGACATCGAATAATTAAATAAATTGTTTTCCCTAAACTCCATTGCTATTTCGTAGGGATTGATGAGCTCAACAATGCAACATTATTGCTTAACGAATCCATCACGGATAACTTCAGGATACGATACTTTTATCAACATCTGGCTTATGTTCGAACAACTATTGAGTAAGTTCTTGATCGTCAGTTATCTATTTTATATTAATTTGAGATGATGTCACGTTAAGTCAAGTTTATTTTGGTAATGTNTATATTTCATTCAAAAGCTTCAAATTTCATTTGATTAGGACATCGAATAATTAAATAAATTGTTTTCCCTAAACTCCATTGCTATTTCGTAGGGATTGATGAGCTCAACAATGCAACATTATTGCTTAACGAATCCATCACGGATAACTTCAGGATACGATACTTTTATCAACATCTGGCTTATGTTCGAACAACTATTGAGTAAGTTCTTGATCGCCAGTTATCTATTTTATATTAATTTGAGATGATGTCACGTTAAGTCAAGTTTATTTTGGTAATGCTATTTTTACCATATTTATCGATAAAATGCGTTAGGCAAATCCCTTGTTGTAGTTGGATTAATAGTGGATTCCAATACTAATAGATGACTTCTATTGCCAATTCAATGACAATAGTTGATTTGGTTCGTAAATTGTCGATAAGTTAAGGCCAAGTAAAATGTTATCAAATTTGACAATTCTTTCTCCTATAAGTTTATGATTGATAGCTCTAATTGGCCCTTCTATTCTTTTTTTTTTTTTTTTTCCTTTTATTCAGGGAAGGTGTCAATGTGATGGCATACTTTGCATGGTCAATATTGGACAATTTTGAATGGGCCACTGGTTACAATGTTCGTTTTGGATTAACCTTTGTTGATTATCAAAATGGGCAGAAGAGATATCCAAAACACTCAGCAGAATGGGTCAAAGTTTTCCTCAAGAAATAATCACAAATAATGGATGACAAATCTTTCTGCTCCAAATCTTCTACTACGTTTGTCGTCCAATAAGCTTGCCTCATCGAATAATTATGCAATAAAAACTATCGTTCCAATAAACTTGCCTCAGTATTAATAAAGTTACCTTAGGTAACTTTTGAATGTGATGGTATATTTCACACTGCCAATCATAAACTTCACACGGCCAATCATGGATATGTTTGAATGTTTACCTCATGTTTTAAGACAGATATCTTTTCGGCCCTAATCTAGAATGTGATGTCATTTTTAGTTTTGTTAACAAAGTTTTTTAGAGGCTATCGTACAAGATTTACTGGGTGCGGCCTTTGACTGCATTGAGTTTTAAAGTGTATATTTTTTGTCAGTTTAGTTCTCATTATATCAATTTTGTCAATTTAGTTCTTTAAATATCTAATTCGTGTCATTTTGGTCTCTGTATTGACGAACAGTTATGTTTTTTTACAAAATGATCATGTGGTTAGCACATTATACCGTCTTAAAAAATGAAATGTGATCACTTCCATCAGAAAACTTGACAAATTGTTTCATTAGGGACCAAAATGACACGAATTGAATATTTTGGGACTAAATTGACAANGTATCTTTTCGGCCCTAATCTAGAATGTGATGTCATTTTTAGTTTTGTTAACAAAGTTTTTTAGAGGCTATCGTACAAGATTTACTGGGTGCGGCCTTTGACTGCATTGAGTTTTAAAGTGTATATTTTTTGTCAGTTTAGTTCTCATTATATCAATTTTGTCAATTTAGTTCTTTAAATATCTAATTCGTGTCATTTTAGTCTCTGCATTGACGAACAGTTATGTTTTTTGACAGAATGATCATGTGGTTAGCACATTATACCGTCTTAAAAAATGAAATGTGATCACTTCCATCAAAAAACTTGACAAATTGTTTGATTAGGGACCAAAATGACACGAATTAAATACTTTGGGACTAAATTAACAAAATTGAGACAATGAAGACTAAACTGATAAAAAATGCATACTTTACAGATCAAAAGTGTTATTAATCCTTTTATATTATCCATTTTTCTTTCTCGATAAAGCCAATTTATCTATTAAAATATAAAATTACAATGAGACATCAACAAAAGTAATACTTGTTTTTTTTTTATATACAAACACGAGAAAACATAAAATTGTTGTCAAAACGTTATCAGGAAGTTAGAAAAGCCAAGAAGCCCAAAAGGGCCAAAACCACCATCCTACCTTAAAAAAGGCCTGAAGTGAAACACTTTTTGGAAACGTTCAGCTTGAGACACGCTTGGATTCGAGGTAGTGCATAAAAAGTTTGGGTCCAATTATTTTTTAATAATTTCATTGATTTAGAATTGCAACATTAGATTGGAGAGTAAATAGCAAGAACTCAGGATAATTATTTTTTACTAATAGAGTTAACTGCAAATAATATATCATGTTAAATAGTCATACCCAATAAAAACTAAAAAATTTCAATCTCATATATTCCTAAGCATTTAGCTTCACTACATGCTTTGGGATCATCATTAATTTTTGCCAATTGGAGTATGACATCTCTTATTTGTGGGGCTTGGAATCTTATGGCCTTAACATTTTCAATTCGACTTTTCCAGTTTGTTTGTGGCAATGATTTGACAGTTATATTAGTCGTGATCAAGTAAAATTTTTCATCGTTTTGTTGATAAAGAAAATAAAGTATATATACGTTATACAATTCCAAAAAAAGACATAACTTTAGAACCAGAGTTAACCATATCGTAATGTACTAAGTTAAGATTGTGACAGCCACATGGTGTTGAAAATGCTTTAAAGTTTAAATCTAATAGCCTTCTTTGTACACCTCTTTGTTTTTCTTTCACATTATATTCATTATCATATCCTTGTCCTTTTATATTTAAATATCAAGTTCAAGACTATATATATTACATTTATAAGTTCATTAAAAAAATAAAAATTTTCTAAAGTATTTCTGTAAGAGGCAAAAAATTAACAATACCTCTCACAAGGAATTTGATGTGATCTTTCTGATAAAAAATGTC